TAAATACCACGTTTTAAATCTCATAGGATACTTTCATTTCAATTTTAACATATGATATATTTTTTAAGTTTATCCTAATCTTTTCTTTTAATATTTTTTTTCTAGTTAATTTCATTATAGTTTGGTTTTTAATTTTACTTAAAGGGGACTACACTTCTAAATAAAAAAAGAATTTTTGAAGTTTGCATCAGGTTGACAAAAATAGAGCTTTTTTTTTTGAAAAAGCACTTTTTTTAAAAAAGAAAAAACTGTTTCTGATCAAGCTTTATTTTTTCTAGATTTTTTATTTATTTTTATTATTATTATTAATTTTTCTTTTTGCATTTGGTGAAGATAGAAAAAAAAAGGGATAGGAAGAGAGTGTTGAAGATAATTAGAAGGAATAATTAAAAAATAAAAAAATTTTAGAAACCTATTATTGTGCAACACTTTTGCTCAAAATTAGAATCCTTATAAATGGTGAATGAATGTCGTAACGGTTTTGAGACCGCAAGACATAAAAGAGTTTTAAAATAAAAAAAATAAAAAGAAAGTCGCCACCAATCTTTGTTAAGGTGTGATTGGACACTCAAAAGTTTATCTTTTTAATAAAACTATAAAAGCGAGTTTTAAGGTTTATCAAAAAGATAAATTTTGATTTACGAAAAATCACGTTAGGTTCAAGAGTCGGTTACGTATGGGGAATGATTAGCACCCCTACAACACCCATAAATTGGTACGATTTAATTAAGCGCTATTTTCAGTGTTGGATAAAAATGGTTTCAATTTAAAATTTAACATTAATTCCCTTCATTTACAAAAATAAAATTTTACTAAAGCTCTTTATTTAAGAATATCAAGAAAATCTTGAAGTTAAAGAATTATTTTAAAATTCTTCAACATCTAGGCAGAATTTAAAATAACTCTTTTCACTTAAGATTTAATACGATAATCCTTAAAATGAAATAACAGTCTTTATAGAAAATAATTATTAGGACTCTCCAACATCTAAGCAGAGTACCAAGAATTATTTCCTTCAGAATGTTATTTTTATTTTATTTTATAATATCACAAAAATTTTTTAAATGTATTATTTTTTTTATTATAAAATATTTTATCATCAAACGGTAAATTAAAGAGAGAATAATGTCAACAATTATCAATGATAACACGCTAACATATGTATGCTAATGGATATCATGTAAAATGAAATGCAATTTAAAAGTTGAGTTCTTAAGTATAATGAGACTACCCTGACTCTCCAACATCTAAGCAGAACTTAGGTACGACTGTTTATATTTAAGATCTCAATTTACTATTATACTTTTTATTAATTAATCTTATTATTAATGTGAATTAAGAACTCGTGTAAAAAATTTAATGAAATGGAGTTTCTTAAATACCCCATCATGTAGGCAGCATTCGGGAACAAATCATTTCATGTGAGATTTTCACACGTATCCTTAAGATTTTCAGGATGTTTTGAGTAAGGGCTTGAGTAGTGGTTTTAAAGATTAAGGTTTTGGTTTCAAAATTTGAGATTTGGGGTTTTGATTTAAGGGTTTGGATTTTAGGGGTTTAGATTTAAGAGTTTAAAGGCTTGGGATTTTAGATTTTTAGGGGTTTTGGATTTTAGGGGTTTCAGAAACTTAGGATTTTGAAAATTAAGAATTAGTGTTTAAGGTTTTGTTTTTAAGAAAATACGAACATCTCTAAAAATCTCCAACATCTAGGCAGATTTTCGAAGCAAGTTTGATTTTAATGATTTTTGAAAATTAATTAAAAATTTCTTATATATTTCTTTTTTGAAAATTTATTAATAATAATTTCTCAACATCTAGGCGAAATTATTTTAGGAAAATGTTTTTATTCCCTCAAACATCTAGGTAGGGCTAATAAAAATTATTATCATTTTTTTTTTGTAGCATTTTTAATATATATATTTTAATTATTATCTTACTTTTATTATTATTAGTTATTATTAAAAACAATTAGATATTTATCCTAATAAATTTAAACATTTTTATCATGCATAAATATGACAACTTAAAATAACAAAAATAATAATATATATAAAAAAATTAGAAAAATTTTTTTTTTACCTAAACTGGATCGGTCAACGATTTGATCAACGATTGGTTCGACTGGATCGAAAAGGGGTCAATTCGACGCGCGATTCGGTTGAGCTGGTTGAGGAACGGTTCGGACCGGTCTAAGGAGCGGTTCGGTTCGGCTCAATTGGACTGATCAACAGCTGTGAAAAAGAATAGGTTAACTGGTCAGGTTGCACGGATCTTGGGTCAAATCCGGGTCAACATGCGGATCTTTCTTGCTTGAAATGGTGTCGTTTTGGCCCTATGCTCAACACGACGTTGTTTTGCCCTTATGCTTTCTATAAAAATTTGATTTTTTTTCAGCTCACTTTTCTGTTTCCACACAAAATTTTTTTTTTAGAGTTTTGGGTTCTCTCCAGCCCCTGCCAAATCCGATCGTCAGACTGTCGGGCCGACCGTTGATGGTGGTCGTCGGTGACCGAAAATTTTGAAATCCTCCTAGAAGCTCCTTTCGACGCGAGCTTTCCAGATCTGGTCTCCTTTTTGTCGAAAACGGCTCTGATCGATGTAGATCAGAATTCAAAGTTTTTTGTTCTTCTTTTTAAAAAAAAAAAACTCAAACTAATAACCTTTCTTTTTTTGTTGCAAGGATCTCCTTAGCACTGGGTTCTTCGCTGATTCGACGAGAACTATGGTTTCTGTTTTATGATTTTTTTGTGTTAATTTTCGTAGATCTTTTTGTTTTTCTGTTTGGGTATTTTGGGAGTTGTTTGAGTTTATGGATTCTGGTAGTGACTAAATGAGTGCTCGGCTTGAGAGCTTCCAACTAGACTGAAAGAGGTTGTGATCTGGTCCTTTATAAGACTGAGATGGTGGTAACAGGTTGAACGTGCGTTTGGCAAGGCATGGGTGGTTGTTCTGGGCAATCAAAGTATGATAGGGATAAGGGTATGGTGCTGCACGGCACCACTGCCAACCCATACCCTCTTTTTTTGTTTTTTTATTTATATTTTATATTTTATATTATTATTATTATTAATAAATAAGAATTGAAAATAATAAATTCAGATAAAACTGATGTCTACATTGAACAATCTCAATTTTAAAGCTACTTTCGTTATATTGTATAGATATCTTCAATTATTGATTCATATCTCAAAAATTCTTTTCTTTTTTTTCATTTTACATGTTAATCACATTTGCCATTGATGGTTTCGATTGTCAAGTAAAAAAAGTTTCACCCAATTATACATATTCACCCATTGTTTTTATAAATAATATTTATGTTTGTTGGCTGGTTTGTGTTTATCCAAATTGATGATTAAAAAGTTTTACTACAACTTTATAATTTTAACTTAAAAAAGAAAAGATTGATTATTTTCAATGGAGAGATAAGATTGAGTACTGGATCGATACATTAAGTAATTAAATTCAATTATTTTGTGCTTGAGTGAGTTGTTTTAATAGGCGTGTAATGAGACTGAATTTAATGAAGAGATAAGATTGAGTGCCGGAGAGATACATTAAGTAATTAAATTCAATTATTTTGTGCTTGAGTGGGTTGTTTTAGTAGGGATGTGATATTTGATATCTCTCAGGTTCCATACTTCACGTTTTAATATTTTATTTTGTCATCACACTTTAATTTAGGAAACGCGTGAAGAAGCAACTCGTGTGAATTTACACCTTGTAGTTCTTGGAAAGTGCTAAATTTGAAAGTATATTAGTTATAATTATTTAATTATAATTTAGTATTATACAAAGTTTATAAAAATCCAAGTAGCACTCGTATGTTTATACGGTGGATTTTTATATAAATTTTTGATGTAATTGACTAATTATAATATCATAATAAAATAAATTATAAATGATATGTTTATGTTGAAGTCAATGTAAAAATTAAAAAATTCAAAATTTTTTTATAAAAAATTATTAAAATTAAAAATTTAATATTCAATCGATAAAAATGGACAAAAAAAAATAAAGTTTTAAGTCACATGTTATTGTCTATTCATATATATTTGTAATGTTCAACATAGAATCCTACTTATTCAAAACTCTAATTTTTTTTTTTTATGTTCTTAATTAGAAGCTTTCAGAATTTGAACTTTATCGTTAAAATTAAAAAATCCGGCCAATAAATCACATAGTTTTCCGATTCCACATTCTTTTACTAAGGTCCAATTTGGATCACGGGTAGGCGTCGCTGCGGTACGAAATATACATTAAATCGCACTGGCGGTACGAAATATACATTAAATCGCACTTTGTATCCATTAAATCGCACTTGCGGTACGAAATATACATTAAATCGCACTTTGTATCCATTTGGCAAACACTGACGTTACATGGTGAGATGTCTTTTTCAATGGTACCGTAAGGGTCCAATGGAATTTTTTGCCTCTCGATCATAGCTGACTTTCCCTTTATGCCCGTCATATCTTTTTACTTTTATTTTTTAACCCTCTAAAAGTACAAAATTTTCTAACTTTTGATTTTCATTTTCTAGTTTTTTTTTTTTCAGTTTTTACGTGACTTTTTATGTTTATATAAAATATAATTATTTAATAAAATGATTATAGATAAACATAATAAATATATAGACAAAAAACCCATTTTTAATTATTATTTTAATATAATTTAATATGTTAATATTTTGATTGAATAAACTTTTAAGATTTTAAATGTTAACTAATAGATAAAAACAATTTGTTATATATTTATACTAATATTCGTAATTGTCATTTTTTTATTAACATTTGTATTCAAATAAATATTTTATTATTTATTTAATTTTATCATTATAATATTAATTTTATAATTATAATAATTAATCTTATTTTTATTATTATTTTTAATTTCATCGAAATTAATCTCTTTACTCGTTCGTAAGCTAAGTCTAAACTCAAATTAAATGACAGTACGTGATACTCTGGCGGCCTTGGCTGCCTATAAATAGAGCATAAACATTGGCGAAGTCATTTCCTTTTTGCAAGAGTAGTTCAATTTTAGCATTTTTCTATATATCAAACTAAATCCCTCACCTTTTATCCCTGCTTTCAATTGTGATCACCATGGATTACAATAACCAATTGCAACCAGATCAGCAGCAATCTCCAAGTTATCAATTGAAGTCAGAAGACATTGAAGTGATACAACAAAGGCGATCTGCAAATTATAAGCCAAACATTTGGAAATATGATTTCTTACAATCCATTCGTAGCATATATGATGTGAGATAATCATAGTTTCTCTCTCTTTCTCTGTATAATTTATATAAAACATTTCCTGCGTGTCGATGTCAGTATGTAGCCCCTTTTCCCTTGTAGAAAATTAAGAAAAAAAAAATCAACAGTCAAAGCCAACATATTTTACATGATCAGAAGGCTAAGCCAATTTAGCCGCCATGAAATAACTGAAAATTTGAAATTAATCATGCTTTTTTGCAGGGGGAGGAATACGAGAGAAGGGCTGAGAAGTTGAGAGAGAATGTAAAGGACATGTTTGTTGAAGCAGTGGAAGAATTAGCTAAACTGGAGCTCGTTGACATGATCAGAAAACTAGGTTTGGGGGACCTCTTTGCAGAGGAAACGCAGAAAGCTTTACAAGATGTAGCATCTTCCAAGAACCGGAAGAATGGTGAAGAAGCAGAAGAAGACCTCTATATAACTGCGTTACGCTTCAGACTCCTGAGGCTGCATGGTTACGAGGTTTCACCAGGCATGAATCTAATTATTATCTCCATGTACTTTTTTTTTTCATGCTTTGAAATCCTATTTTCCATGATCTAACTCTCTGATCAAACTTCTTGTCATGAATTACTCAGCTGTGTTCAATGCCTTCTCGGATGAGAAGGGTGCATTCTCAGTAAGTAAATGCACTGAAATGAAAGGACTGCTTGAACTTTTTGAGGCCTCGTATCTAGGTTTCGAAGGAGAAAACATTTTGGATGAGGCTAAAGCTTTCTCTACAGAAACTCTCAGGAGTGTTTGTTCTACTCTGGATACATACTTGGCTAAGCAAGTGGCCCATGCTTTGGAGCTTTCGACTCACTGGAGGGTGCAGTGGTTTGATGTCAAATGGCACATCACCATGTACGAGAACAATAAAAACATAGACAAAATTTTACTTGAACTGGCTAAACTTAATTTTAATACAGTCCAAGCTACGCTTCAGAAAGATCTAAGCGAGATTTCCAGGTGACAACCAAAGAAATAACCAATAAAAAGTATCCTTGACAATTTATAGAGGAAAATTAACATATTAAACATTTTGTTTTTTCTCTGTCATATATATTCAGGTGGTGGAGGAATCTGGGCCTAATGGAACATTTAAACTTCACAAGAGATCGACTGGCTGAAAGTTTCTTATGTGCGGTTGGACTTGCTTATGAGCCTCAGTATAGTCGTTTCAGAAAATGTCTCACTAAGATCACAGCTATGATATTAATAATAGATGATGTTTATGATATTTATGGTTCTCTAGAAGAGCTAGAGCACTTCACCGACGCTGAGTAAATTATCGATGTGCAGCATACAATAGACATTTAGGCGACGTTTGTAAATCATCTCTAATGCACATTGTCTTAAATTCAGGTGGGATTCAAGCAAAATTCAGCAGCTGCCAGAGTGCATGAAGATGTGCTTCCAAGCTCTATATGATATTACCAATGAAATTGCTTATGACATCCAAGAGCTCAATGGTTGGAATGTCCAGGCATTACTTCATCTGAGGAAAGCGGTAATAGATATAATTAATGCTTCCTTCCATTTGTTGTGTTTCATGTTTTGGATTTTACATTAGATCTTGTCTTCAGTGGGCAGGATTTTGTAAAGCACTATTTGTGGAAGCAAAGTGGTATAATGAAGGATATACACCTTCCCTTCAAGAGTATCTAAGCAATGCTTTGATTTCATCGGGAGGCATTGTGATTTCTGTCCACTCTATGCTTTCTGTGAAGAATGATGTAACAGAGGAAATTGTCGATTTCTTGGGCAAAAATCAAGAACTTGTTTGCAATGTATCCATTATAATCCGACTCTGCAACGACTTGGGAACTTCAGTGGTAAGTAATTGTATATTCTTTCGAGAAAACAGGAAATTCTGACATGACATAAGTCAACTTTTTTATTATTATTACTTTTTTTTTTTTGCTAAAGAAAAATTATTCAATGACTTCCAACAGGCAGAGAAAGAGAGAGGTGATGCTCCATCATCAATCCTGTGCTACATGCGAGAGGTGAATGTTTCAGAAGAAAAAGCTCAGGAGCATATTAAGGACATGATAACCAACACATGGAAGAAAATAAATGGCCAATGCTTTAGAATTCAATCCCCTTTGCTGCAATCCTTTGTCAAAGTAACCATTAATGTTGCACGCATGGTGCATTGTCTCTACCAATTTGGGGCTGGATTTGGCATTCAAGACCAAGAGACCCGAAGGCACATCCTGTCTCTCCTAATTGAGCCTTTCGAGCTTGAATAAATTGAAGTTTTAATCTATATATGATCAAGTATTAAACAATAAAAGCATAAAAGAAAAATCCAGCTTCAAAGGACAAAAATAAACTTTACGAGCATATTCTTCACAAGATTTCGCGTATTTCACAAATCTGATGTGGAAATTTGAAAGTTTTTGCCTCCCTCAAAGGAATTGACCAATTATTCTTTAGCTAAGACCGTTAGCACGAAGGTAACCGTCTCTATAGCAATTAATAATAATAGTTAATAATAGTTGAATTGAGATTTAATTTAATTGATTTATATAATTATTTTTTAGAAATAACATTTAATAAATTTTAAAATTTAAAATTTAATATTTATAATCCTTTTTATTATCTCAAATTATGTTTTACCTTTTATAAAAAAAATTAGCAATAATAGTTTTTGTTGGTTGTTTAAAAGATATTATATGAAAAAAGGCTCTTGGTTTTCTAAAAGATGTATTAAAAGGGTTTTCTTTTTCAGTTTTTCTCCTTCTATCAGTTGCAATCCTATTCACATTTTCGATATTCATCCGCATAGGGTATAATAATGGATATGCATAAATAATAATAAATTTCTTTAAACAGTCGAAAACAGTATGACCGATTGAAATCGTTTAAAATAACGAGGGTCCAAGGCTCCAAGTCCAAAGTAAGACTTGGCCCAACTATTTCCCATTAGACATAAGCCTAGGCAGAAAATGTTTTAGGGCTTGCTCCAGCCCAACATTTCGTTCTTATAGTGTAAGCCCAACTTAGTTTTTAATTGTAAAGTTGTTAAGGAGTGATGACATTTTCAAGCCCTGATTTTGTTTTTCGGCCTGAAACTCAAGCCCTGCTTAACAAAATTAGGAAAAAGAAAAGCAAAATAAGAAGCAACCTCCTTCCCCTTCCAGATCCTCTCCATCCTTTTTTTTTTTTTTTTTGCCTATTATTTTATTTTCTTCTTTTTCGTTCCAGCTTCCACATATCGGGGGTTCCTTTTTTTAATATTTATTTATATTTTTCTATTTGCTTATACACTTCATAATTATTATATATATATATATAAGAGAGAGAAAAACAGTGAAATAGAGATGGGGACAGAACGAGGAAAATGTCAAAAAAGAAAGCTTTCAGTGGCAACACTATGACTAAAAGATTTTCATGGTGGTTCAATCCCAACTGATCTCCCTTTCCCTTCTGCCCTGGCGTGTAAGTACCCAAAATATCAATTTTCGTTTAATTTGATCCAATTTCTCTCTTTTTTATTTTATGTATACTTTCTGTGTATAATAAAAAATTTTAAATTTGGGTTGTTTTCCATTAGATCTGAAAGCCGCTGGATTTGCATAGGATGTTCATTCGTTTCGGTTAATTTTGAATCTTTTAATTCGATAAATTCAATTAATCTTTTTGTTTAATCGAATAATAAAAATATTTAAATAAAATTATATTTTAAATAAATTAAATAAAATTATTTAATAAAATATTTAAATATAAAAATATTTTATTAAAAATTTTCGCTAACTTATAAAATTAAATGATATATTTTATATATTTTATTTAAATCATATTATATTTTCATTAAAGTTTTAGATAATTCGATTTTTTATACGAATTAATAAAAAATAAAAAAATTTAAAAATTATTTTATTAATTAATGAAAAATAATTCGATTAATTAATTAATTAAATTAATTAATTGGATTAAAATCTACTTATAAACACTTCTAAATTTGAATGCAAGTGAACCCTGGTTGTTAATATTTTATTATTTTTTTTATTGAATTTGATGGGTACATGATTGTATTTTTATTTAAATATAAAAATATTTTATTAAAAATTTTCACTAACTTATAAAATTAAATATGTATTTTTTAATTTATATTTAGATTATGTTATATTTTAATTAAAATTTTAGATAATTCAATTTTTGATACGAGTTAATAAAAAATAAAAAATTTTTTAAATCATTTTTATTAGTTAATCAAAATTAATTCGATTAATTAATTAAATTAATTAATTAATTGGATTAAAATCTACTTATAAACACTTCTAAATTTGCTTGCAAGTGAACCCTAGTTGTTAATATTTTATTTTATTTTTTGTTTTTATTGAATTTGATGGGTACAGGATTGTATTTTTATTTAAATATAAAAATATTTTATTAAAATTTTTCACTAACTTATAAAACTAAATGATATATTTTATGTATTTTTGATTTTATATTTAGATTATATTATATTTTAATTAAAATTTTAGATAATTCGATTTTGATACGAATTAATAAAAAAATAAAAAAAATTTTAAAATCATTTTTATTAATTAATCAAAATTAATTCGATTAATTAATTAATTAATTAATGGATTAAAATCTACTTATAAACACTTCTAAATTTGCTTGCAAGTGAACCCTAGTTATTAATATTTTATTTTATTTTTTGTTTTATTGAATTTGATGGTACAGGATTGTTAGGCCTGCCAATCTTTTAGCTTATGATAAAGCAACGTCGTGGGGAAACCCAATAGGCCGGCCTGATCACCGTGCCTGGCCCAATTCATCTCCCGCAACTAGGTATTTTGACAATAAAACTCCCTTTTTAACCAATTCATTGCATATTGGTCGTAATTTTGACGAGGATGAAAGAAAGCCGTTAGATGGGGTTTCTATCCCGCGTAGAACTATCAGTGATGAGAGTTTTCGGGTTCCAGCTAGTTGTGTGGAGCTGAAACCAGAGTCTGCTTATGCAGGGAGGGTTTCGGGTCGACATGGGTCAGCTCCGGTTTCTCCATTGTCGGTTGGATTTGGGAATTCATACTCTATTTGAGTGTCTAACGGCTGCTTGTATTGCTGGGGGGAATCATGGCAGGCTGCTTCTATGTCGTACCCTAATGCGTGGGCAGCTGGGAAGGAGGTTTCAGTGTGTTGCTGAGCCAGTACAATCTGTATGTATGGTCTGAACAAAGTGCTGTCTCGAAGTTGGCTCATGCTAGTGTAGATGGCAGTCAAAGCAGTCCCTTCAATATCAGAAAGATATTGATATTAGTAAACATTCAATAACAGAAATTGGTTTGCACTCCCAGGGCTATGATGATGTGACGTACAGCAGAATGAATGCTGTGGGTGGGAGGGAATATTCTGATGTGACATCGGAAAGGCATGTAGAAAGAGTTTGAATATTGAAGATGGATTTCAAGGTGGTTGAAGGGAGTCGTACGACTATGAGGGGAACCGTGGTCCTAATTATTTGGAAGCTGAGCAAGGGAAATCAGTTATATATAGTGAAGGAATTCAATCATCTCGTTCAGATGGCAAATTTGGTTGTTCTGAATTGCAGTTGCCTCCATCCGTGCTGTCACAAGCATCTGAGCGGCCCAAGTTGAATTTACTTCCTCGGACTAAGCCATTGGGTATTCTAGAATCAACTTTTATTGATCCTAAGCAGGTACGCATGTGATGCCATATTATTGAAGTTTACATTCATTTATTTTTTGATATAAATGGCAGATTTTTGTTTATCCAAGAAAGCAGGGATGTAACTTGCTACAAAGAAAAAGGTTACAATCATTTAGTTCTCCCCTAATTATGATAATTTTCTTGAAATAGAGGCACCAGCGGCTATGTGAATCTGATCTTAGTTATACTGAAATTGGTATGATTCACATGGGCATGTGAATGCTTCAAAACCTGGTTCATCTTGCAGTGAGAGTGGGAACCAGGCAGTGGAGCGTCCAAAGCTGAATCTAAAGCCACGTTCACAGCCCATTGAATCGTTGGAAGGGAACGTTGAGAAGGAAAGGTCAGTATGCGTATTGACTTTAAATTAATAACCTTAATAATAAGGTCGCCTTAGTGATTAAATTATTATGATGGTCTTAAAAATGATACTAAATGATATGTAAAAGAAAAAATGCAAGCAATAATTAAACGATTACTATCTAGAAGTGTTAATGGCTTGAGTTGAATTGGATGTATCTCAAATTCTTTATTTAAGGCTTGATTCGATCTAATCTAATTGGATTGAAGTAGGTTTGAAACTATTTAACAAATTATTTTAGATTAATATTTTAAAATAAAATCTAAAATTAAAATTAAATAAGATAAAGTAATTTTTATTAATTAAATAATATCTTAAACCAAATTCAAGTCTAAAAATCTTATTCAAAATCTGATTTAAATCAAGTGAGGCTGCGAGTCGGATGAATAACCCAATCCCAGAACAATTCTAACATTTATGAGGCGAATCAAAATAGGCGAATCCAAATAAACTATTCCTACTATTTTGTCTAAAATAAACTAGTTATTTCAAACTTACCCAAAAAACTTTCTTTTTAGATAGTCACCGATACAGGGTGCCATACACACGTGACACGTGTATCTTTCACAAAGAAAAAAAAAGAACAATCTTTTCTGATGATGTTCTGAATTGGACTTCAAGTTTACGACTTTTTGAGCCGTTGGTATGCACAAGGTCACGTGCTCACCTCTACTAGTGTTGTAGGGAAAAAGATGGCTTTTGTCATAGGTGGCACTGGGTTCGTTGCATCTTTGTTGGTCAAGCTGTTGCTAGAGAAGGGTTACGCTGTTAACACTACAGTGAGGGACCCAGGTTGATCTTCTTTTCTTGCTTTCTTTTTCCTTTCGGTTTATGATTCTAATATCTACATCCAATGATTTAATAACCGGACTGGTTGTTGCAACCGAACAATATTTCTCCCAGTAAGCAAATGCTGGCAATGAACCCGCTGATCTGGTTATAGTTGAAAACATTTTTTGTTATTGAATAAGTATTAAATGCAATAATTACATAATTAAAAACAGCATTTAACTCTGTTATTAAGGCATTAATAAGGGTGGAAGGGAAGAGTTCAATGGTTGAAATCTTACCACTTATCAATATTTACTTGGGAGAAATGTTATTCTGTTCTTCTTACAAGGGGGGAAGTAGTTTCTACTGCTTTGGTTTGGTGGGCCATTCTAATTTAACGTTCTTTTTCATCGTTGGACGGTCTTTGCATTTGCTCATGAATCCTTGAC